AAGGCCATAAAAATTATAGTCTGTTTGAGCAATAATGATTTTATAGAGAGCATTTTATGTTTAATTTTGTACATTTTTGAGGGGTGATGATAAAATAGGGATGATGACAAAATTTGTCATGTGTATTACACTAGTGAAAATTCAGGATATATTTAATTATTTCTTTGTAAAATTAAGAATTTAAAACTTGTATACTATTAAAATATGGATTATTAGCTAAGATATTATGCTATTCTAATTGGTATAACGTAAACAAAAAGTAGTTTAATAAGATTTTGGATGTAAGACACTAAAACCTTGTGTCATGTGCAGTAAAGGGTACCCTGGCCGATAGGGTTAAAAACTAGGTCCCTCATTTTATCTCTCTAGTTAAGTTTTGTGTCTTTCACAAGTTTATCAGTTTCCAGTGTGCCAAGAAAGATTTGGTCAGTTGTTTGTTATGGAAGATAAGTATCCCTAATTTTAAATTCTAAGCTGTTTTCATGCAGTACCATTATAGTACTTAGTATTTTCATATGATTCCTTTTTTTTTCAAAGAAATTCAATCAAGGCAACTTGTGCAATAAATTTTTAAAATAAAAATCTTATTTGGCCAATGGCTAAAGTTAAAAGACTACATGTTTCGGTAGCTTTATTCATGATGGCAGCGTAAGGCTACTGAAACGTGGAGTTTTTAATTTCAGCTGTCAGCCAAATAAAATTTTTATTGTGTTTTTCAAACATAGATCCTATTTTTAATCTAAAAATGTTTCACAAAGTTGTTTTTTTTATGGACTCTTATCATTAATCAACTAACTTAGCAGTTTGTATAGCCCTTTACCAATCTATGATTCTTGCCGCTTAACATCACTGTTGTTATATTTCATTCCAGAAATAAAATTAATATGTTCCAATTTGACAAGAATGTTCCTAAAAGTATGTAGTTTCAGAAAAATAAAATATTTAATTTTGATTTTTTTCTACTATTTCTAACAAAATATTCATTATTTAATAATTTGGACCCTGAGTAGTTCACCTGCAAGGTGAATTTCATGTTAAGTATAAAAATACTATCTTTTTTTATCTTACAGTTTTCACATTTCATTTACATAATCTCTAGAATCTCATAAATGAATATCAAAAGTTTTTTTTTTGAGGTAAATGTTTGTATTTTATTTTACATTTTCACTACCTCTATATATTATCATCAACATACAATGCAATGAAAGTTTAACATTAACAATTGTACATACATTTCAACTCTTCATAGAGTGGTTTTCAAACTTCTTCTTGTCATATGCATAATTTCAGTCTTTATCTCTGTTCACTTATACTTTATTTTTAATTTTCCTTTCCAATTCTATGTCTTTTATTATTTATGCTGATACATCAACTGTTGCCTGTGGAGCTTTTGTAGTTATTATTTGCAGACTCCTGTGTTTCACTAAACAAGATGATGCTTGCACATGCCATCTTGTTTATAAGCTTTTACAATCTAGGCTACAAGTTAAATGTATAAAACTAATTAAACCTTTCAAATATGCATTTTAAAACACAAATAATACATAATTGATTAAAAATCTAAAAGTAAAACCTAAATGCAATCTAACTGTCTATCAAAGTAATACATGTAAGGTAAGAAGAAATAGCCAAGTGCTACGGACACCACTCTCAACAATGGAGTTAGACTCATTTCACCCCGTTTGAAAATGAAAGTATACATGTACGTTTCGCATTACAGAAATGACCTTAAGAGCAAAATCTGCTCCTTCTATTGATTATAAGCATGCCATTCAACTTCAAACTGTAACTTAGCAACACAGCTTTTACTTTCCAAGTGGGCGTTGTTGACCTTAAACTAAGGAAATATTTACAAAAGTTTCCTGAGGGAGGCATTCTTAGAAGGAGCTTGAGATAGAAATGTAAAACATGTATGGTGAACTTTGGACATCTGAAGGAAGTGTCTACAGTGCACATACACAGTGATGGTCAATCCCACTTTTCATTGTTAAATGTGTAGCCCAAGAATTAGTGGCGAGTGATGCTGACTAACTGCCTTTCTTCTAGTCTATCACTTCTAAGTTAGGAACATCTAGTGTAGATAGCCCTTGAGTAGCTTTGTGCAACTTTCAGCAAACAAAAAAACTTAATGTGTCTCTAGTATAGTTTATTTTCCTTTGGACAAGTAGTTTTTCAGGTATAATATCTTTAAATATGGAGATTTCTTTATAATCAACCTGTACATACTTTTGACTTTCTAATATATTTTATTTCTGGACTTAAGTGAAACATTTTACACCAAATATTTGTAATTCTATCACTAAATAATAATAATAATAATAAAAATTGTATGATGCAATGGGATTGATATTACAACAATATTATCTAATACAGCTGTTTAACAATAAGATATTATTGGGTAAATTTCAAATTATACAGTCATTTGGATCACATTTGTTTTCATAAAGATTAGACACCAATAAATATTTGACATGTAAGTTAATGTTTTAAATTATTAACTATTTGCAGTGAAGCGTGTTAACGAAGAGCCACAGAATGAATCCATTAAGAAACCTAGATTTGAGGTAAAAATATACGTTCTCCTTGTTTAAAAGTATTATTCTTAATTATCTGTTAGTATTAAATTAATTTTAGGTTAGTTATTTTATAATCAAATTATATATTTTGGAGTAATTCGGCTATTTTGGAGTCATGGTTTTATTTAATTCATTGTTAAGAATTTGTGACAAAAAATTATATAGACCAGAATTAAAAATAACTTATAAATTAAAGAAGCTGATCCTGTAGTAAAAACTTACTAAAAGTATGTTGTCATAAATCAATACACAAGAAAACAAAAAAAACTAATGACTAGAATGTATTAAATAATCATTTTGATTTCCCTCGCTGTTTATGTTGTCGTAACTTTCCTGAAAAAAAATTGTGATTCTTAATGTGCTACTACAACGAGTAGTTTTTCAGATATAATAATATTGAATTTTCTTTGTAATCAATCTGTACCTAATTTGGAATTCTAAATAGTTATGTAACAAATAGCCATAATTGTGGACAAACATACAGTATATCAGGGTTTTTATATATGTAATAATAATAATAAATGGTTTTACTGAGTGTTGATAGATGTGAGGATTAACAACATATTTTGATTATTTTCATTGCTTTGGTCTTCATGCATTACATCGATGTAGTCAAAATACACTAAAAATGTTAACTCAGTATTGTAGAGAGTGTAGCATGGTCAGTTAGTTACAAATTATGAAACTAAATTATACTGACAATATTATAAATACAAAAAAATTAAATTTGAAGTGTTTTTAAAATGTTATCTAATCATCATTAATCCTTTTTGATTTATTTTTTTTGTTCATAAAAATTGTAGGGTAATTGAAACAATTATTATTTTTAGCTACATTGATTACAGTAGAGACTTTTTCATGAGTTATAACTGTTGTTATTCTTGCATTTCTTCACTTTTTTTATCAACCACACATTAAAAGTTCTTTACTCAGGTTGTTAGCTACACAATCATTAGCAAAATGTTTATGAACTTTTAAATTATTGACAGTTATCTGATACTTTGTTTGGTTTCCATGGACAACTGAATTCAAATGAAGCAGGGACAACTAAATATTAAATTTATTTGTTCCCAAAGAAACCAATTTGTGTGGAATTTACTAAGTCTAAAAAGAAATTATAAACTAAAGGTTAACAAATGAATACTGATATATATTAAATTAATAATCAAATCATAAATATGTGAGTGATGTGTATAGAGATTTTCTAAATTTTCATGCATATAACAGGAAGGACAGGTACAAAGAGCAAAAGAGCAGCTTGCAGCCAGGTTGGATGCTCCAAAAGAATCCTCCGTAACAACTGAACAAATCAGGTACTGTTGTAAAATCAAGAGTTTCATTAACAATATATGCATGGGTGGGGGGTCAAGATGCACATGTCATGACTTTTTGGAAAGTTACATTAAAACTTTGATTAACCTACTTTATTATCAATGTATATCAATAAACTTGGCATCAATACATAGGTAATAATTTTTATATTATATAAGTTAATTTCTTAATTTAATAGAAAATATTTGCTCGGAACTATTTTATGTCATGACACATCTGCACTATAAATTATTCATTTTACATTTTATTACTTCTGCTGTATAATGTCACCAGTATTTAACCAATTAAAAACTCAAATTTCACAAGCTGGAATATAGAATAACGTGGTGCTTGGTTTGCCCAGATAGTAATATATTTAGCAAACCTACCAGAAAAAACCCTCCCCTCATTTTATTCTTTTAAAGTCCCTTATTTACTCATCCCCTACCTGTCTTAAGTACATATTTATAATTAATAGAAAGAGCAGATTGTGAACTACATAAAGTAGGTAGTTGTTTGTGAATCTCGTGGCAAGAAAAGACAAAATTTTTAAATTTATTTACACCTTAATTAGAAAGCCAGGTAAATTATAGTAGTTTTATGGAGTTCTATTCCTTTCTAAAATGCACATTTAAAATTTACAAAAATTAATTTGCGTTCATCTCAGTTTGAGAGAATCAACAAGGCATAGCATGAGGGTTAGCGACTAAACCTCCTGAGTGCAAGTAGATTTTGTAATGTCATAATTACTGTAAACCATGGTTTTTAGCTCCCTCAGTGGCACAGCGGTATGTCTGCGGACTTACAGTGCTAGAATATGGGTTTTGATCCCCGTGATGGGCAGAGCACAGATAGCCCATTGTGTAGCTTTGTGCTTAATTACAAACAAACCATGGTTTTTATGTATATTTTTCATTTATTGTTATATCATTCAAGGAGTATAACTAAAATTTAAGCATTTATGAGGAAATGGTAACTGTGTGTGTGTGTATAAACACACACACACGTGTCATATATGGTAATCAAAATGATATTGTATTTGACAAAATACTGGTATGCTAAGTTACAGACTTGCACTTTGTAAGCTAACTTTACTATACAATTGTAAATTTTTCTACTGAACACATTTTATTCTTCCACAAGGCTGCAAAGTGTGTATCTCATGATCTTTTTTTACAACTTTATAATGAATTTATGCCAGTAAACTTACCATCAAAATAGTTCATAATTCAACTTTTAATATTATACAAGTTTTAATTTTTTAAATGAAAAAAAAAATTTTATAACTCAGTCTTTACTTCTCTGTATCCCATGATGCATCTGTATGTCAAATTGCCCATTTTAAGTTTTCCCTTTTATCCCATGATCTTACAAGTTTGAAACAAATTACTCATGCTATAGATACTGCTAGGCCATTGCTTTACAGAGATATAACTAATAGCTTCTTGCTGTAATTTATTGTTTTATTGTCCAGGAGAGTATTACTACACATGGCAAAATAATAACAAAACAGAAAACATGTTTGATAAGAGACTAAAGGTTTAAGCTGTGAATACAAGTAGGTTGTAACTTCACCATCAATGCTAAGAAGGAAATAACTGTATTACTCAACTTATTTCTTCATTTTCAACCATTCTTTTCATTATACTTAGAAGATGTCTTTTAAGACCCTGGAAGCAATTATGCTGTTTGTTTAAAAAATTTACAGATAAAACATACAATACTACTGAAAAAACTTTTGACATTCGTTTAAGAGGTTCCAATATGTATTATTTGTTTTAAAGTTCATATTGAAAAGGATCAATGATTTTTTTAAGTTTATGCTTTGCCTCCCTTAAACAGCTTTCATAAAATTAGCTAGAGCAAAAACAGTTTGCCCGAAGTTAAAACTATCTCTACCAAAGTTAAAGCTATATTACCCACAGGCACTTGTTGATGTGTGTCGACATAAATAAATATAAGGAACACAAAAAAAGAAAGTAAAACATTAAAAATAAACTATAAGTGAGAAGGTAAAGATGTGAAATTAAGCATATGACCCAAATAAGATATTTTAAGATTATTCAACAAAGAGTTAAAAGGTATGTACATATTTCTGTTTATTAATTTTAAGCATTTTATTTCACTGTATGTTGATTATAATAGCTACAGTTAGTGGTATGGTAGAGGAAATGGAAAATAAAATGTAAACATTTACCTTAAATAAAACTTTTGATAATTGTTTTGGAGGTTCTAGAGTTATGCAAATGAAATGTGAAAACTGTAGGATAATAAATAGTATTTTTATACTTAAAATGAAAATCACCTTCAAGGTGAACGATAAAGAGCCTGAGTGCAAATACCTACATTAAATATTTGTTAGAAATAGTAGAAAAAACCAAAATTAAGTATTTTCTCAAACTATACACTTTTAGGAAAGTTCTTGTCAAGTTTTAAACAATGTTATCTACTGGTTTTATTATTGGAAAGATATTTAACGAGAGTTGTGTAACGTCTTTCAGTTTGAAGGACATCGTTGTTATTGGGTTAATAGTATTAACTCTGGAACAGTGTCGTAGCAATCATTGTTTGGTATCAAAGTTTAATGGAAAAGTATTGTTTATTAGAAATTTTGAAGTTTACTCATCTGTAGCTGACTATTCACTGCTGTTTTCTTTCTGGCTTCATGTGATATCATACCTTTTAAGCTAGGAGCATGTACTGGAACATTATGGCTTGGAGATGTAGAAAATTCAAGTACTCAGAAAGAACATGTCCTCATTAATAAGAAGCATATCCAACACAGCTCTACAACATTACTGACTTTGAGTGTAGTCCTGAGAAAGAACATGTCCTCATTAATAAGAAGCATATCCAACACAGCTCTGCAACATTACTATGTCTTTGAGTATAGTTCTCAGAAAGAACATGTCCTCATTAATAAGAAGCATATCCAACACAGCTCTGCAACATTACTATGTCTTTGAGTATAGTTCTCAGAGAAAGAACATGTCCTCATTAATAAGAAGCATATCCAACACAGCTCTGCAACATTACTATGTCTTTGAGTGTAGTTCTCAGAAAGAAATGTCCTCTGTCAGGAACATTTTTATATTATATATATAGTATATATTAATGTAAGTTAAATAGGTTTGTTGGACTAAGGATTTTTCTACAGTAGGTGTTTGTGACTTGTTGGAGATAAATTCGATAGCAAATGAACAGCACACATTCCGAGTTTTTTAAAATAATATATTCAAACAATTTAAAATGTATGTACAAAAATTCTTTAAACTATGTATATCATAGTTGTATCTTAAATACTATACAGTTCTCCTCTCTTGTCAAAAGTTCACTCGGCTAATTCAATTGCTTTAGAATTCAGTTGACAAGCCAATCTATTTTTATCTTAAACACTATCAGTGTATAATTTACTTATCACTTTTTTTCTTTTATCTCAACAGTATCGGTGTATAATTCATTTACGCTGTCATTGAGCTACTGTAGTTGTATCTTGAACTTCTGATACTTGTCTTTTTTGTATTTAGGCCTACTTTCTTATAATAGTCAGCTTTTTCTCAAAGTCCACACAGGCAGGTTCATTTGCTTTAGAAACTCTTTGACAAGACAAAATATCCTAAAACATCAGAAAACTGTTAATCTCACTTTAACATATCAAATGCTAGGCTATTCACTCCTACGATGGTTAACTTTACATTTTCTAACCTGTTAACCTCAATTTAACATGTCAAATGCTAGGCTATTCACTCCTACGATGGTTAACTTTACATTTTCTAACCTTTCTCTGACCAAAACTATCTTTCCCTCAGCTTTACTTTTGGCTCTCTTCCCATTATCTGGTCACCACTATTTTTTATATCTCTCACTGAGGCGTTCTAGAAATCTCCATGGCCTCGACATCAATAACTTACAAACACAACTTCCAATAATTGTCTGCTTTTAACTCTCTTATTATATAAAAAACTAAATAGTCATGAAATATTAACTCACAAAATATATTAATTAATACTACCTACACTAAACAGTCTTTTATATCTGACATCCTCTTTAATTAGAAGCATATCCAACACAACTCTGCAGCATTACTGTTTTTGAATATAGTTTTAATATATTTCCTCCACTGTGTATTTTCCAGCTAATCTAATGTGAATGGTGAGTAGAGTAGTTAGTTCTAGGTATGTTTTATGATACTGGAAAATATTCTGGCTAGTTCATTTTCACTATAGTTTTCAGTTCAAGGCAGACAGTAATGACATTTATGTACTAAGGATAATCATTATTGTCTGCCAACAACAATGTAGTCTAATGACATTAGCAAAAAAAAGCTCATTATTTCCCAAGATTTCATCCATATGTTATGCTGAATTCAAAGCATTATTCCTAATGATTTACAGATCTTTATGTCTGTCAGAATAGATGGTTCTACATATCATTAAGAAGCCACAATCAAATCTGCCATTGTTCAGCTACCATTGTCTCCAAACACACAGTAGCTGTTATATGAACTTCAATCCTTAAAGAACATGGAACTATTATGAAGCCTTGAATGATATTTTTCCAATCTTTTAATTATTTAGTCGAAAATCATTCTTATCAACCTAATATCAATGTGGAACGAGCAGTTCTCATTGTATTACTTTGTGTTACTTGGTGAACTTGATAATAAAATTTGACTTGGAAGGCCAATAAAAGAATTATTTTTGTAAACATGAAGAAATAAATAGCATTAGATTATTAGAAACAAGAGTTTTTAAAAATAAGGAATACTTTAGTTCTGAAAGTTGTACTCAGAATTAGTTTCACTAAAGTTAGGGGATTAATATGTGATACATTTGTTTTAAAAGTTGCCACAAATGTAAAATGTACATGGTCCATGAAATACAGAGATCTACCAAAAATATTGTACCATGATAAACATTATTTTTTTTTACAGTTTTGGCTTTCTTGAGTGTATACTTAATTTTATATCAAGATCTGATCAACTATAAACATGGATTTAAAGAATTGCATATGCTGGTGCTTTGTCTTTTATCAACCCAAACTTCATGCACAATGTAGGCTTCCTTAAAGTGTGCACAAAAAACACCACCACCTTTCAGTCTGTTTGTTGATTAATGGCTGCGTAAATGGTGTACGATCTTAATCTGTAAATCAGTATAAAGTTATTAATATTGAATATTTTGGCACTTAAACTACTTACATGCTAGTTTTATCCTTATAAATATACTGGATTTTATGTCAACCACATAATGTACTCTTAACTCTGTTTCTTTATTTAACTCGTAGAGTTTGTGTTATTTAAATGATTGTAGATCTCGGTTGGTGGAGGCCATGTCTGTGGAAAGGATTGCAGCCATTAAAGCTAAACGTCTGCTAAGAAAACGAGCGACTATTAAAGGAGATGCCAAACACATAATGTACTCTTAACTCTCTGTTTCTTTATTTAACTCATAGAGTTTGTGTTATTTAAATGATTGTAGATCTCGGTTGGTGGAGGCCATGTCTGTGGAAAGGATTGCAGCCATTAAAGCTAAACGTCTGGCTAAGAAACGAGCGACTATTAAAGGAGATGACGACATTGGTTTGGGAATTCCAGATATTCAAGGTATCTTGGAGTATGATGTTGATGTAACCAAAGATATCATCAGTAGAGAGAGACAGTGGCGGACAAGAACCACAATATTACAGAGTGCTGGAAAGGTATGTTTTGGTATTACATAGAAGAACAAAACTTGTTTTATGTATGTTTATTTGAATAATTATTTTAAATGTGAAGCAAATATTGAAGTTACCCGGTTTGAAAGTTTGTGCAATAAAAACAATTGTAAAGCATCACTTGTTAAACAATGCCATTGTTTCTGATTTAATGTTTATATTTACTTACATGGAATTTCACGAGTATTTCTTACAGAATTCATGAAACTGCATACTATCCTGCATGGTACACTTTTTATATTTTCATGACTACTGGCTTAATACAATAATGACAAGCATCTATAGAAAAGATTCTTTGCAGTTTCGTAATTACAGATTTTTTAAGGTATTTTCGTGTGTTTAAATGAAATCTTGATTATTGGCTAGTATTTTATATTGATAGTTTCTGCCATAGTTTTTGTGTTTGACAGCGATTTAAACTAGAAAAATCTGCCATAGCTTTTGTGTTTGACAGCGATTTAAACTAGAAAAATCTGCCATAGCTTTTGTGTTTGACAGCGATTTAAACTAGAAAAATCTGCCATAGCTTTTGTGTTTGACAGCGATTTAAACTGAAAAATCTGCCATAGCTTTTGTGTTTGACAGCGATTTAAACTGAAAAATCTGCCATAGCTTTTGTGTTTGACAGCGATTTAAACTAGAAAAATCTGCCATAGCTTTTGTGTTTGACAGCGATTTAAACTAGAAAAATCTGCCATAGCTTTTGTGTTTGACAGCGATTTAAACTAGAAAAATCTGCCATAGCTTTTGTGTTTGACAGCGATTTAAACTGGAAAAATAATTATTCTTCCAGCTTAAGTTTACTATGTGCTTCTCCCATAAATAGTTTATAATCTGTGTGGGTGTGTGCAAATCAAGAATGTAATGTACAATTCGTTGCAGTACCAGAATATAGATGTTCTGAAAACTCCATGTTTCTTTATCAGTTAATTGTGAATTGTTGATAAATGAATGTTTTCAAAAACTTTGCAGTAATATGTGATTACATTTACTGTAAGGTAAAAAGCTTATTTTTTTCACATATGTGCATCAACTTTAGCTTGTTTTTTTTTATATTTAGTTTCAACATCACTATCATGTATGAATATGTGTGTTAAGTGACCGGTTTTATGTGAAACTTAGGATCTCAATGAAATTACTAAATATGAGTCTTTACTAGTATCTTAGTTGTAGTTGTTAACTGATGAGATGATTCCCAGTGTTTTAAAATTTCAGGAGTTAATCATCTAATTGGGATATCCAAATTAAATAAAACTACAATCAAACTCTAACTACTTGTATTGTCAGGTTAAGTTGTCCTGAAATTTAAACTATCATATTAATATTTCCAAATCAAATTTGTTTCTTCTGTTTAAATTGTGTTGTTCTTTAATGTGACTAAATAGTATCGTATCATCACATTATCATTGTTCGTTTTTTTTTTATATTGAATGTCTATCAAGGTAACAACTAATAAATTTCTTGCCCTTCAGAATTTTGCAAAGAGTATATTTCCCATGTTGCAATCTATAAAAACAAGGGAAGAAGGAGGAGGCCGGAATCAACCCCAGGAACAACTTCAAACACCTCGGGTATGTCAGTTTATGTTCTGATTTTTAAACTCAAATATAAACTTACTAATATGTTAGTTTGTAAAATAAATCTGAACTAGAAGAACTTTTCAATAAATTTGCATCCTATTTTAGGCTACTCCCGCACGTCCTGTTCCCCAGCCTGCTGTGTACAACAGATATGATCAGGAAAGATTCAGGGGAAAAGAAGGTAAGGCTTTCACCTCCTTTTTTAATGCACCAGGATTGAAGAAGATCGCCACTTTAGAGCACTGTGTTAATAATAAAAGTTAAAATGTGATACAGAAAATTGATACCCTATAACTCTAGCGCTTTCGAAAGATGGACCTTTCTTCTTCGTGGGCAAACTGGAGAAGAAAGGTCCACCTTTTGAAAGCAGTCAGGTTATAGGTATCATAGTTTGTGTTAAATTGATTTCTTGAACCTATGTGTTTTTGAAACATCAGGAGTTAAAATATGATTAGATGTTTACTGTAGAGAAACAAATACAGTAACAGAAAATTTCTTACCACACTTAACAGGATATCGTAGAACTAGTTGTGATAAAACATGAAAATAAATAGGAACTCAAATGGTGGATGAATTATATTGAAGGGACGGGTGCTGCATTTTTCTTTTTTTTAAGAGATTGGGTGCACCTCAGTACTTTGATTTTGAAATATTCATTGGATCAGAAAAAGAAAATATTAATTGTTAAACTTTAAGTAAGCATGAAATATAGAGAGGACATTGAACTGAGGTATTATGCTCTCATACATTTGAGTTAAAAACTTTGAAATTTTGCATGCTGAGAGATTGTTTTAATATTTGAAAATTATAAAGCCCAGGGACTTCTTTTGTATAGAACCACATCATTGGGATTCTTTCTTTCTTTCTTTCCTTCATGATAGGTATTTAAGAAATTTTAGAAGAAAAAATCCTATTCTGGAATGGTCAGAGACTTGTGTCTCTCTTTGTCTGCTCATGGTTTTGTAAAAATAAAAAGCATCAAGATTTTCAGGGATATTTTAGCATCGTGATTTTTTTGGGTTATATTGATACTTATTAAAATCAATTGTTATTATGATGCTGCCCCAGGGAGAAAGTCAAAAAAGCCCATGCTGTGCTGGTAGACTTTAATAGTCATTGGTTGGTTTGATTCATTAGATTCTAGCTGGTGATGCCTCATGTCCAGCCCACTTACAGTGTGCATGAGAAGATGTCGAGAGCAGGGGGGTGGGGAGTACTTGCCCCACTTCCCCCAGAAAATGAGAAATCTAATTCTTTCTTTATTCATTCAGCATATATATATATATGAATTGACAAGTTTTTTTTTATACACTTCACAATTTCACACTATTTATTGCACTTAATTTTCAATTTAGTAAAAGTTGCCAGTTTTTTCAGCAGCTTTACTTAAAATCTCTATATATCTGCCCTGTAGCTAAATATTAAAAAATGTTGCTACCACGGCAGCTTCTTCTGGTGTAGATTAAGGTATATTAGTCTTAAATGTTCTTACTATATATACACAATAAATGTCATTGAAATATTGTGCTTTATGTAACCTCAAATTACTGAATTCATATAAGCAGTTGTTTTATATAAGGTGAAATTAACCTATAGGATTAAGAACCCAAAAGAACAAACCAAAATTTACTATTATGTATTACATATAGCTGCAAGTCTAACCTTACAAATAATAAACCCATCAAATCTGACTATGAGAGCTTGCCTATTCTCTTGACTTTAATGGCACAACTTTGAAGGCTAGTCCATTGTACCTTGATTTTGACTTTGCCCCCCAAAAAATTTCTGAGGATGCCCATGTCCACAAGATGTAGATTCCATAAATGTGCTTCACGGAATAATTAAGAACTTGGACAGCAAAGGAAAGATACACACACACACACACAAAAGTGAACAAATAAAACAAAATCTATTTGTATTGATTGTATCATGAAATTTTACTTAATGGCCTGCTTCTTAATGTTTGAACTGAAACTTGTGGCTAGAGTTGGAAAGGCTCTCTACACACATCCACATTGGACAGAGACAGAAACAGTTATCTTGTACCTGGCTATCCAAATTAGACAATGGGTACAAATGTGGTATACCATAATTTCGAGCTCCATACATCAACAATTATTCCAAATAGAATATATGTAGAGAACAAACTTCTGACTCATACCAGTGTGTACATGTATCTGTCTCACTCCTTGAAATATGTCTAGAAATAGTTTTTTATTGAATTTTAAATATTGCAAGGTCACTTTTGTTTTGTGTTTTTAAGGTTATAGCCCAAGCATAAGAAGAAGGAAATATTTCTTATAAGAAACAACCAAAACATTAAACTTAAATCATTGCACATTTAGTAGTTTAAGCTGTTTTACTAATTATTTTCTTTCCTTCTTTCAGAAACTGAGGGTTTCAAGATCGACACTATGGGTACTTACCATGGAATGACTTTAAAGTCTGTGACAGAAGGCACTCAACCAAAACGTGCTGTTACTCCTGTCGCACCTCAACCTCATCCCGTTCCTGTGGCAGTGCCAAATAGAACTCCCCAGAAACGAGGTATTTTTAAAATCAGCAACAAAACATTATTATGTAGCAGGTTTTTATTTTTTTATTTATTATTATTATTGTTCTTTTAATGAAAGTATTTATAAATAATTCCAATAAAATACTAAGAATAAATGAATATATATATATTTTCTTTTAGTTTAATATTGTATGTGTGTATGGTGTTAAATTAGCTATAGCTGAAACTTATGAAAATTATTACTTGCTGAGTAGGGTATACGTAACTTAAATGTATTATGTGGAATCTGTCTTCATAATCAAATTTTTATTATAGAACTTAATTTTTTTGAACAGTGATATTTTGACCAAGTGAAACTGTCCACAGGATTTAAATGCAACAAACATAAATTTAAAATTATTTGGTTTATATTTAAGAATTATTTTAAAAAGTTTTTATCACATTTTAATGTTATTAATCTTGGTGCTAATATATATATATATTACTATTTTTTTTACAGTTTCTAAAACTCCAATCATTATCATACCAGCTGCAACTACATCTTTAATAACCATGTATAATGTCAAGGATATCTTACAAGACTTAAGGTACATATTTTTGAATTGAAAATATCCTTTTGAATATAGTTTTGTCATATTTAAAATTTGCATTGAACTATTAATAAGAACATTAAAAAATTATAACAGCTGTGTAGTTTAGTATAATTTTTACTACTCTTACATATTTCTGGCCTTGTAACCACCAAGTAATCATGTGGGTATTCATGTTAACTTAATATGGTATGTGTATCTGCACAAAATTTGGCAAGCTTTCAGCAAACATTACAAGTCTTTTGTACAAAACATCAGATTTTTAACCAATGCATTTTTACTAAAGATATGTCTGAATATATGGAGTCAGAGTATTGACTGTTCCAAATGCAAAATGATTTTCATGTTCAGATTAAAAATACATTTCTTTATGTGAAACTTTTCAAATTCCTTTTGGGTAACCTCTAAAACCTCCTAAATAAATATCAGACGTTTTTTCAGTAAAACTTTATATTTTATCTGTCATTTTATCTATATTTGTTATTATTATTGAATCAAATTCCTTGAGTTAAGAACACTTCAAACCTTTTACTGTGACTCAGTTTTGTCATTCAAATTTCTGACGTGACTTAAGATCAATTTGTATATTTTCTCACCTGTCGTTATTGTGCTGGTCTACCATTCTTGCCCCACGCTGAACTTTATGCCTTATAAAACAGTACAGAATCAATATTTTTCTGAGTAGTCCAGTTGTGTTCAGTGATCACTGAGTACGTTTCTTGCAGAATGTTATGGAAGTTGTGAAAAAAAAATTTGTTTAACAATTCTTTTTACAGGTATATTACCTCAGATGAGAAGAAAAATCAAGGTTGTAAGCGTGAGAATGAAATACTCATTCAGAGAAGGAAGGATGGAGGCTTCACAGTTCCTTATCGTGTAATTGATAATCCCCTCAAATTATCTCCAAGTGATTGGTAAGTAGCTGATATATATTATACAGGTGTGTGTGTGTGTGTATTAAAAAGATTATCTCAAGTACACTGTTTTTCTCCTTTGCTTGTTTAATTTTTAAAACTTATGATAAGAACGTATAATAATTGTTTTTCCACCCTGTTAGAAAAAAAACAAACTGTCTTAGCAAAAATTTATATTTGTGTCCCCTAATTCTACCATTCTCACCATTAAGTATAAAAAAGATTGTGTCAACACTATCGGTTCACTTAACAATCTTAAACACCTCAATCAGATTCCCTCCAACACTTCTCTTTTGAAGAGAGAACAATTTCAGACATCTTAAACATCATGCACCACTGGTAGTACATATGCATGTTTTCTGTCGGATACTGTGAGCCACACGTGGTACACAGCACCCATAAGATATAACTGTACCTCATATCTGCAAAGTCCTATATGAAGCACTTATTTTATACAGACAGCTATAATAAAGCCACACCTTCCATCATTTACCACTGGTGAAGCACGAATGCCATATTGAAAGGACAACTGAAATAAAACAAATTTACATGATTAAATCACTTTTTATTTTAAAATTACATCTAGAGATTGGCATTAAATTTCTCATTGTGAGCAATTGAAGCAAAAAAACACCATATAATAAGGATAGAACTATTATCATCCACAGTAGGGATTATTTTATCTGATGCCCCTTTTTTATGCCCATAAAATAGTGAAGTATTCATAATTCTTCTAAAAAAAATGGCAAGATTAGGCTGAAAAAAATTAAATATTATGATCATTTGATTATTATTACTTAACCCTATCGCCCTGGATATACTCTACTGCACATAACATAAGGTTTTAGTGTCTTACATTCAAAATTTTATTAAACTACTTTTTGTTTATATTATACCAATTAGAATAGTATAAAAT